GCTCATGGATGTTGTGGTGTGGGGCCCTGCCTGTTTTGAGACCATCTGCTGGGACAGGACAGGCACTGGCCACTGGGTGGTGAGCAGTTACACTGCACCACTTGTTTGTGTATCTCACTATCGTTATATATTCATATAATGTTACTATTTTATCATTATTACTTTTATATTATTACTATTATTACTAAATTGTTCTTATCTAAACCCATGAGGCCCCTTCCAATTTCCTCAATAATTCTCTTCCCTGTTGTCCTGGGGTGGGGAAGGTGAGCAAGCGGCTTCATGGCATTTAGTTGCCAGCTGGGCTAAACCACAACAGGTTTCTAGGAAGAGTCAAACATTGACTCACTTAACTTGCACTGTGGATTTAGGAAAGAGTTAAATACTTCTCTATTGCAGAGTCAGAGAAAGGAGAAGCACCGCGTAAGGCCCAACTGGTTCGGGACTGTGGAAGGCTCGCTGGGTCCTTGGGGACGTGGCTGGGAGGCTGTACAGATGGGAGGAGTATCTCAGTTACAGAGCCAGTCCTGTGGAGAGGGACGGAATTTGTTCTGGTGTGCACTTGGACTTGTAACTGCTCCAGAGCCTGTCTTGTATCAGTTAGCTGGAGCAGATGTGCGGCTTCCATCGCAGATGATCTGTTTAATCAAATGCAGATGTCCCACACATGTGACCACGGGGTCTGGGTCTGGGCTTGCTGTGAGGCAAGCGGGACTCCAACACAAGTTAGAGCGATCAGACAGCAGGCACCTTAAGGAAGCGTGCTGCAAAGGTGCAAGCTGCCCCTCTGCATGTGTTTCTCACGAGGTCGTGGGGGGGCAGGTATTTTAATTGGTAAATCACATCTGGGAGGTTACTCAGTGATGAGAGTATGGAAACGTTTTTCAGTAGGCAGTGTTGAGGATTATCTGTTTCACTTCATCTTGTGTCACCTTCATGGTTCATCCAGTACACACTCACAAATGGTGCTGCAGCAGCCAAACAGCACAGCTCTGGCCCTCCAGAGAGGGATGGGACCAGGTGGTGGCTGCAGACACCGATACGGGCTGGTGGGGTAGAAGAGCCATGTCATGCAGGCAGCTTTGGAGGGAGGCAGAGGGGTGGCAAAATGATGTGTATTTGAGCCTTTCAGAGCAGCCTGTTGCAGGAGAGAACAGCAACTAGCGAAGTGCTTCAGTCCCCACAGCGAGGTGTTTCAGGCCTCAGGACGTAAGAAGTGCTTCTGGCTGCTCAGGCAGCAGCAAGAGGTGCTGCAGTGGAGTTACTCCTTGAGCAACAGACAGTAGCTTTCTGCTCCACACTACTCACCCCGTCCACTCCTTCCCTTTTGCCTTGTTCTATCTGTGGTAGCACAAGGACATCCTGAGGATTGCACTGCTCTACTTCAAAGTGACAATTGGCAGCTGCTGTGATTACAGTGGAGAAAGAGGCATCTCCACCACCAGTGCTTCCTCCCCCTGCTGCGGGAGCAGCCTTTGCTTCAGTGCACTTGGCTGCTCTAGGGCAGGCTCTTAACTGAATTCAGCGTACAGGAGACCCCGAAAGCTTACAGGGGCAGAATCAAACTATACTTTACCCAAGATGCTGGTTCAAACCAGCGCTAGCTACTTTAATGAACCAAAGCAATTTAAAAACTCAAAGGTGTGAGCACTGCTCTTTACCATTGGCTCAGAATAATTACTGGAGCAGAAGCTTGCCCAGCAGCTGAGAACTGTGGTTTGACTGGCTGAAGAAAAAAGGAGTGCGATATGCAGCAGAGCATATGCAGCAATGCAACATATTCCCTTTTTTATTTGGAATGCTGTCTGAAGCAGTCCTTTACAATCCTGGATTTTCTGGTGGTTATCTTGCTAAAGGCTTAACTGGCACAGGATTTTTTGCTCAGGATGGCCATGTCTCATGTATTCATATTTCTCTCAGTGTACTGTTCATGTACAGCTGTTAGACTCCAATGTCTGTCAGACATGGCAGTGGTAGCAGGTCCTTCAGTTTTTCCACCAACTTTTGTCTTAAAACAAACCCACAACAGCTTAGGGAGTTGCCTACAGCCATTTCCTGCCTTGACAGCTTTTCCAGTTGTTTTGGTGTTTTTTTGTTGGTTTTGTTTGTTTGTTTTTGTTTGGGGTTTGGTTGTTGTTGGTTTTTTGTTCTGTTTTTTTTTAAGGCAGGTATTGTTTTCCCTGCCCCTCTAATCTGCAACAAAAGATTGCCCTAGTTTGGTCTTGATTTGAGCTGAATTACTCTTGTTGAGTCTCTGGATTTAGTTATTATGACATGTTTATACTGGGCAGTGCCTTCCTAATGTTGCATCAGAAGCTCAATGTAAGAATTGTGACCTTTGTTTTCAATGAGTAAGTTTACGCCTTCCCCAAGAAATCTGTTAACCAGTGTATCTCTGAAGCAGTTTGCCATAAGAGTTCACATTAACACTTCTCATCCCATCATCCTCATCCTGTCAGGTAATGTTGCTATGTCTTAACCTGAGCTAGCATGAAAAAAAAGAACTGCCTTGCACATTGCTGGGGAAAAAAAAAAAGCACAAATTGTGCAGATGTCAGGTGTAACAGTCTGTGAGCTTTAAGCTACTGTTTATTTCCTTTGATTTTGGCTGCCTTTTTCCCCTCAAATTTCTCAAGGAAATGACAATATTTCTACACCTTTAAACATAAAGGCTGGAGACACATTCTTTGGTGAAGATAGCCCAAACAGAAACCAGGGAGGAGTGGGGGGAATAGGACACAGACAGATGTTAAGGCTTTCCAGGCAGGTTCTTGAATGCTCAATGAAGCCTTTTTGCTGTCCCACGATTTCTTGCTGCATTAGTTAAGGTAAAACACAACTAATCCAAAATAACAGACTTGCCCTTACACTATTTTTAATAGCAGAAACTGTATTTAAATCAACAATATATGGCAAACCCTCTGAACTCTTTTCACTCTTCCCAAATACCTTAATAAGGGAAGAAAGACAAAAAAATGTGTTCAGGCAGCAAAAGTATTAACTTGATACAGTTGATTTCATCAATTAGTTGATTTGATTTTAATTTCTTCTGGCAAAGGCCTTACCTTCAGTAGGTATTAAAATGGTTAGTTATCAGTTGTAATGCTTAAGAAGTGCTTAGTTTAGTCACAGCAGCTTGTCCAGGTGCACAGAAAATGCAGTTTTAATGCTAAACATCACAGAGGTGAAACCGGACTGAGAAAAATCCTCAATAACCTGAGATATCTCAAGGGAGATAGCATCTATTGCCAAAAATTCCACTTCATCTACAATTGGGATCAGCTCCTGAAGAAGCAAAAATAAACAAAGAGCTTCATACAAGAACAGGCTGTGTCTACAGTGACTCAGTCTCGGACATCAAATTCACAAGAACACACACGTTGCCTGGAAGCACTGCAGCATCAAACATTTCCATCAATTACTATGTTTAGTCTTCCATTGCTCTGCCTTTTAGAGGCCAGATGTTGTCTATGTGAGAACAGGAAAAATGGTGACAAAAGCAGTGGGAAGGGCTGCACATCTTCGGTGTGCTGGTCTCAGCCTTCCTGTAGCCCTGAGGAGAGTACATGAAACACCAGTCCTTTTGCAGGTGCTACTTCAAACTGCCACATACTTACCCCTGAAAACTACATCTTTGACTTCTAGGCTAGAAAACATAGAGGTGAGTTTTAAAGAAACAAAACTTCCTTATCATTTCTGCTGTACTTATTTTTTTAATTTCATACAAAGTTCCAATAATACTGACAACAGTAATGCAAAACTGTGGATCAAATTCTCACTTGTCCATTTGCTTTTTGGACTCATAACGTCACATAATAGGTACTAAGGGCCCTCCTGCAGTCAAACCTATTTTCCAGCTTGAAAGTAAAGTGATTTATTTTCAGACTACTTAAATTAGTACTTAAAATTTTCTAAATCTAAGTTTCTGCTATATTGCACAGCCGTAGTTTTTACTGCTATCCAATATTCAGATAGAATGCTTTATTACAGGATAGATTACTCAAGTTTGGTTACTCAAGTTTGTAATTCAAAGCAGTCCTGTCACCTTGAACATTAGTGACCAATACCCTCCTGTCCCATTCCCCATTTCCTTCCTTCCCCCATCTCGAGTTACTTTTGTCAAAATTTAATGCAAGACATGAAATAGCACTTAAACCAACAACAGCTGTGCACACACCTGGAACAGCTCTCACTTTCAGTATAAAATTTCAGTTCCTTCTCTGTCACTGCAATTCAAGTGTTTTCAATACTGTGATGTTGGAACAAATGGATGAGGACAACAGGAGCCCTACTGTGGCATCTGAACTTAGCTCCTGCAAAGTTAATTTTATGCTTCAGGAATTCCTGTGTTAACATGGAATCTGCACCTTTTTCACCTATGTATGTCTCACTGCTTCATGAACACTAGACACACCACTTGAAATGCACCCACCTTCACTCAGTATAAGCATTTTGAATAGCAAACTTGCCAACAGGAAGATATTACTGTAGTTTTATTCATACATCAAGCTACTGCCACCTGCGTTCCCTATTCAAGCTGCAGATGTCACTCTAGCAGCTCTGGCCATCACACAAACCATCTACCTTGAACAGTCTGCAACATCAAGTGCTCCCGGAAAGAAACTACTAAAGCATCCACCTACATACACCATGGAAGTGCTGCTGGATTGGTGCGTTAAGGTGTTGAAAGGACAAGACACCACAAGACCTAATCTCTTAAAATTTCTAGTTTCAAATTCTGCAAGGCCAAGATACATTCCCCTCCCCACTAAGACAAGGAAAAAGAGGGCCAGTGAGCTGCATTGCACTTTAATTGCACCAATACAGTTAAATATTAAATGGAAAAAGCAATTCTACATAGCAAATGGAAAACAACCATTTACATAGTAAATCTGTAAGATGTACAGACTTATTTAGTTTTAACCCAGTTGTCTATACATGAATATCCCACTGCAGTTTTCCATGTTGAAATTACTGTAAATAGAAAACAAAATGAACATTTTCAGGTTCACGCAGAACTGGCAAGTTACTGGAAAAAAAAAAACACAAAACACTTTCCTCCCTCATAGGCCAACACTGATGGGAGCCAGGGGGAGGGCAGGTCAGGACACCCTAGGCTTTTTCATACCAGGAGAAACGCATTGGCCATCACTCCATCTACTAGCATGGGTAGAAATGAGCAACGCTTTTCTGAATACACTTGATTTCCCCCGACACACCCCTAAGGGGCATATCCTGTTACCCTGCCAGGGTAGTTATCCAAGGGGAGTTAACACT